GTAGTGGCCCTCAAGTACTTGAACCAACATGAATCTTAGGGTAGAGCAACCACTTCTTCACCAGTCTCACGTATGAATGTGCAAGTTTTCCTTCCTCTCAAACCAGTGTTTTTCAGGAGTCATGAAAGGTATGGGACTGCTGATGGCAAAAAGGAAGCAGAAAAGCTCGATGAGTCACAGGGTCTTCCACAATTACATCTGTGAGTGAAGTTATGGGATTTCACCCATTGCCTAGCAGGGCCACAGAGAGAGATTCATACCCACTTTGTGATATTCTTCTATATACAGCCTTCTCTATATGGGCAGCAAGTTCACAGCTGAAAAACTCCTGGTCTATATGTTTTCAAATCTTAATGACAGAACAAAAGATAAAATTTGCTAATCATGCTCCCAGTGTGGCTTTCAAAGGGTTTTTTATACCATCAAATCAAGAACTTAACATGCTGGCTGGCTACTCCACCTACTATGGAAGCCAAGGCAATTATTATTAAGTAGAAGAGTAGTGTGACTCCTTCCCATCACAGATCCTGAAGAGGAGGTAGATTCCCCATCCTGGTGATCAGGAAGAGAGCCCAACTTTTTTACCAGCATTATTACAAAAACCAGTACATTTTCTAGAAGAAATCAAGGCTTACACGATGACACTTCAGTTTAAAAAAGGGTTAAGCTTCTCAAACCAGGCAAATAATATGGAAATAGTTACATAACCTTCATAGGCTCCTCTAATTCCTTTTTGGGACTAAACAGACATGTATTTGTAATACACCCTAATTGAAAAAAAGCAAAACAACAAGCCCACAAAGAAAAGCCCCAGCCCCCACCCTCCCAAACCTATGAATAAGAAACATATTTTCAGAAGCAAATCTCATCCTATTTTATCTCCTTGTACAAAAGTATTTCAGCCTCAATTTTTTTTTCAGTCCTGCCCTCAATCTCCTTCCCCTCACCCACGCCTTCTTTTCAGACCAAATGAGCCTGTCCCTGTGTCTATCCTCTGGAACAGGATTAAAGTTTCACACTGAGCCTGTTGCCTGGTTCACAGTAGCAGATGATCTGTTTGAAAGCTGTTCATTCAGCTCTGGGCAAGGCAAATTTGCCATGGAGTTTTCTTCAACCCTCCATCTCCTTTAGCTCACAGGGGCTGGAGGAAACCTTTCCTCAGCACTCAGTACAGCTGCCAGCAACTAACTTTCCTACAATACTTAATAAAGCATCCTTTTTAAAGCATATGCTATGTTGACATCACATTTCTTGAATTCTTTAGATCTTCTTGTTTGAGGGTGGGAAAGAAGAACATATGTGTGTATCTATATATGTATGTATGTATATATATGTATGTATGTGTCTATGTCTATGTATATGTATATGCATACTCATCCACCAACTCAGACATAGGTGTTACAAAATCAGAATTCTATCCATTACCAAATATTTTAACAGGTCCAGACCTTCTTATAAGAATAATTTCAAAGGTTTTCCTATTGCTTTTTGCTAAGATGATTGCAGATTTTCAGCTTCTATTGAAAGGCTTGCATAGATTCTCTGCCAACACAACATAGCAATAAGCAACAACAGATTCACTTCAGTGTTAAATATCAGATTCATTTAATTAATTTAATAACATTTTCTGCTGGAAGCTATGTTACAGCTGCCAGATCCAGAATATTGTTTCAAAACAGAATCCCTGTGGCCTGCATTTTTTTAATCCACTAGTCCATATCCAGAAGCTTTACTCTTCAAGTCTTCTTTTGATGGCACTTGCCTTTAAGCAGATGCTCTTTATGATGAAGGCCAGCCACATGCTTGAGTCATGCCACTGCAGTGCATAATTCAACCTTTGTCCCAATTATTTTGTAAGAAAAAAAAAGACACTTAGAAAGTATGTGTAAGTAAGGTAGGATCAAAAAGGTAAGACATGATTCAGGACCATCTCTGTCAGTGGTTTGATCAAAACCAGTAGATGATGGCACAGCCTCCAGCACCTGCTGCCTCTCAGAAAGGCCAGCACATTCCAATTTTTCTCTCTAGTCTCATGTGTTGACAACCCATGAACAGTAAATTCCTTAAATGATGGATACCGATAAATCTGGAGTGTTTTCTATCAGCTGAGCTATAGACCCATCACTTTGCATTCAGGCATTAATTGGTGTCATTTCTTCTCTGCTAAAGGAGCTCCTCCTTCCTCAGAGCTGTGTGTTCGGCACTTTATATTTTTGACTGACTGGAAAAAAGGTAATTTAGATATAAATGGTCCACCTTTGCATATTCCTGCTCTAAATTACTTAACATAACTGTTCACTAGTCTTGCAAGAGCCATTTTAAGCTTGAACTTGTGAGGCTTCCTGCTTTGAAGATCACTTTAACAACCCTGAAGTGGGTTTTTTATTATGCAGCATCCCTCCTTCTGTGGCAGAGCTGAATGAAAAACCAGGGCACTGCTTTCTCAGGAAATCACCAGATTTGCTCTACCCCATCCCCTCGAGTCCCCAACCTCGGCAAGCAGCCAGTAGTGCCTGCCCTGCCCACATTTCTCCTCTGCTGCCATTGCTGCTCATCCAGGGCTAAGGAGACCAGGGAGCCCAACCAGCTCTGTGTCTCTGCTCCCTTGGGTGCCACTGATGGGAACATGCACCTTCCCAAGGGCAGTGGTGGGGAGCCAGGGTCTTCTTGGTGCTCTCCCACAGCTGACCTTTAGGTCTGTATGACCTTCTCTGCACTGGCAGCTGAGATGCCATCTCAGGGCTTTGCAAGTGCTGCAGATCACCAATTCCTGGTTGGCATCCATAACCCAGCACACGTGTTAAGAAAAGCACCACTTGTTCCAACAACCAGAAGCCTCCCAGGGTCTCTCCCCACCATTTCTTGCCCTACCACAGGGCTGACCCTTTGACAGCTCCCTATGAGCAGCACTGAACCAGCCCTTGGCTCACAGGACTCCCTCAGAGACAGATGCCACACTGGAGCCTGGTTCTGCTGCTCCCTCTGCCACAGCCTGAGCAAGAAGGAAGCCAATCCATGCCTTTAGCACCTTAAGACAACTCCAAATATGCAAAGATGGATTTTGAAGGCCACTGAGCTCTATTTCCACCCTAATCTGAATTTCAGCAAGAGTGATGAGCCTCATGCTGCTCTGCAGAAGTCACCCTCACCTGAAGCAGGTGGGGTTGGTTCAGAGGGTGCTGAACCAGTTGTGTTTGACAGAGGGGCCCAACCCCACTGCTAACTGTGATTCTTTGATTTGCTTATGTAACAATCAGTTTAAACCTGCACTTCTTACTTACCTCAAGGAGAGTCTCAGAAATGCAAGCACATTGCACTAAGGCACAAAAAATGCAAGCAAAGGTTAAACAGTTCAGTGTTGTTTAACATAGGTAAGTTAAATAAAAAAGCAGCTCTCTTACTGTGTAGGGGGATACTAATGCAGTACCTGAGGGACTGAATTTCCCCAGAGCCCAGACAACATAAATGCCCATTGCAGCCAAACAAGCTTCCTGCAGCCACACCAAGATGCCCTCTGATCAAAGTGCTGCAGCAGCCCTGGCTGCTGGTTTGCCATCTGCCTTTCTACTGAGACCACCAGCAAGAAAGCAAATGGGTGTTCTGCTTTGGTAAATTCCTATGAACAGCATAGGCAAGATAGAGGAAGGAAAAAAAAAACAACAGACTGCAGCCTATCCTTGAAAGTTATGCAAGAAGAGAGGTACACAATGAGCTTTTCCCACAGCAAAGGTTCCAGCTACGATTGCAAAACCTCGGCAATCACGCAGGGACTCTTCCATGAGGTCTCCTAGGGTCACTATTGACTTCAAAGTCAGCAGAAAGGTGGCACAGCAAGGATCCTACTGTATTGCCACAACTGGCTGGCAGAGAGAGTTGTCTGGGGAAAGCCAGAATGCTGCAGCCATCACTCCCAGCACTGTCTGAATTTATAGACTGGAATGCCATGAGGATCCATGGCTGGCTGTGTCATGGCTGTATGTGTCATGGGTGTGAGTATGGGCTCAGCCTCCCATGTGGCTCATGCTGGTTTCAGGACTAGGGCTCAAATTCAACCATTTATTTCTTCATGCTTGTCTCTCTCTTCCCAAACCTGAGTTTTACCACCTGGCAAAAAAATGGCTCATGCCAAATTCAAGCCAGAGCGAGATCCAACATACACAGACAACATGCTCACAAAAAGAGGCATTTTGTGATAAACTGAGGTAAGCTTAGGCGCAATATGGACCAGAGTACTTCTCTTATAAGCTTCTCTTTGCAGCAATTTTTTTCTCTGAAAACCAACTAATCTCTATCTAAAATTCTCCAGTCATAGAAACTGACTGAGAACATTTGTAAACTTTACCTCCTTTGTTAACCTATGGTGTTTTATTTGAAATTAAAATGTAGCTGCATTTTCAAGCCCATCTGGTGGAATTTGTCAGATTGAAGCAGATATACCTCTGGTAACTGTAGCCTTATAGAAATTATGTGTCTTGCCTAGACTGGTCACCGAGTTTCTATCTATAGAGAGATATGCACTTCGTAACACAGCAATCCATTCAAGGACCCTCTCTGTGAGTGCAGTCCTCTTTCCATTGACTATGAAGGAAACTTGGTCAACTTAGATTAAGGGATTATTCATGTGAGACAAGTCCCTCTCCTCACTGAAGATTTGTTCTCAGGTTCCTTTTACCATGTAGACTTTTCCCACAATATAAACTCATAATTTAATATTGTTTTTGCATAGATTTCAGGCTTTAATATATCAAGACTAATTTCTAACAGCCATTAAGCAACCAGAAGTGAAATTATTTTAAGAACTCTTGAGATTAATTTCCTTACACTCTTTATGACATTCATTCAAGGTTCATGTTCTTTGTTTCCTCTTGCAATAATTTAAGAGACAAACCACTGCTGGGAACAGTACGTGTCCCTCCACCCCCTCTAGCTGACAAAAATTGGCAGAGTTCAAGAGAAACCTCAGCGAATGGGAGAGAAAAAAATTCACAAAGAGCAATCACTACAGATATTGAGATTTATTGCTGATTTTCCCTTTCTGCAAAGCTGTCAAACTGCCACAGTTCCAGAAGGGGATTATCTCCACAAGCCCCTTGGCCTCAGTCCCTGTGCCAGTTCAGACAACATGACTAGAGACCTGTGTGTAGCAGCTTGCTGCTTACAGAACAGTTGGAGGCAAAATCCATCCTTCCAGATCCTGAATTTATGGCAGGATCTGGGGTCTGACATTGTTTGGTATGACCTGCTGTCTGCTTCAAACAAAAAAACCACTGGGGGCATCCAGTGGGGAATGCTGCTTTTCCTGAGTTTAATTCCCTGTGCAAGAAGCTGCTACTGAGTGGTGCTCACACAGAGCATGAGCTGTTTCTGCATGAGACAGTGCAGTTTTTCCTTTACCACATCAATCTGATATAGTTTGTCTTGTGCTTTGAGGCAAAGGCTCCTTACCATCTTTGCCAACCATGCTGCTCCCTTACCAGCACTATTAATAGCATAGGTTATTTTCTTAATTAAAAAAAATAGATCCCTTTCCTCATGTTTGGTTGCACTTCTTCATTCCTGCTGCCACTTTTTTTTCATGGTAGTGTCTCTAGGTTGCAAGTCAGCTCTTTTCCAGCTGGTGAGATCTGGTTCCTCTTTATGTGCCTGTCCTTTCAGTGTAAACAAGCAATGCTTCTCCAACTCCACCGATCACAAGGCTGTAAACAAAGTATATCACAAATTTAGCATCATGCAAGTCCTCCCACTTGATACAAAAAGGTATTCTTTTATCCAAACCCATTCCAACCTAGAGACAGTAACCCAGGTGATTTTTTCATTTATCTTGCTAAAAAAATGATGCAACCTAAAATATCTTATTTAAATTATCTCAACAGAAACTACCATTTCTGTGTTTTAGGGGTGGTGGTATTCAGTGAAAATACATAGGCAGAAATCTAAATGGAAGAAGTTGCCCCTAGTTACAAGAATAGCTGCAGACCCCTACACTAGCAAGAACAGGAAAGGAAGGCAAGAGAGTTTGGACCTTATTAGCCTAATGATTCCCTCTTGCAATTTCTGTTTGTGTTCTGTCCTGAAAATTTGCCACTTGACAACATCAGGAGGAGATGTAAAGCCTAGGTTTTGTGGACAAGGTGAAATCTGGGAAAACCTTTTTGTCCTGGGGTGATCCCATTGGCATAGTGAGGCCAGTAGAAACTCCTGTGTTTGCCTCTCTTGGTGAGGTGAAAGGAGCTGCCCCAGCCAAAAAAGGCACATGGGCCCAAGCACTTCTGTCCTGTGCTGCTCACAGCACAGCTGTGGCACTAAGGCTGCCCCCAAGAGTCAGCCTAGCAGCAGGGCTCCAAGTCAGGATGAATGGTTTTACAAAAACCTTCACTGAAATTTGCTATCAACCCACTCATTGCATGCAATAGTTAATAATCCCCAAGTGTCCTCTGCTATCTCTCAGAGTTGACAGGAATATGCTTGGATGCTGACTCTTCTCCCCTTTTATAACAGTGCAAAGCTAAGTGTACTGACCTTTCATCTTAGCCCCATGACTTAATTAGCTTATGAAACAGAAAAGCTCCTTACTGAACTTTATAAACAAAACAAACTTCTGTTAAGTTCGTTTCTAAGAGTACTCTTTTTTTTTTTTCTTGAAAAAAAAAACAAGTAAAGCTGAAGGCTCTTTGGTCTAATAGCATTACATTCAGTTAAATCTTAGCTTTGGTGAGCTGTTTTAAAAACCACATAATTGCCCTTGTTCCCGAGAGTTAAAAAAAATATTGTATAACAACAGCACAACATCTTACAATTACACAGTAAATAGCCCTGGAAAATAGGTGCTACAGACAGTCTCTGACCGTCCACTGGTGAGACAGAATAGCTTTGGTGTGGAATTACTGACAAGGAGCAAAAGGCTGCAAGGGCTGTTTCAAAAAGGGTCTAAACCACTGAGTCTGGTCACCTGCAATCAGTAACAACTTCTGTGTGCTTTTTTTCTGGAGAGGGTTAACCTCCATGTCTTATTTCATCTCCAGTTATAAACACACCCTATGCATTAATTCCTTTGGAAGCTAAGGTTGGATAATATATACTTTATCCTAAAAGAAAAAAAAACCCAAAACACTACATATGGAAGACCTAAAAGAGCCTCAGAATTTTTTTTCCTGTTTCTATAGCTGTGTTGTTTTCTAAATTTTCAGCAGAGACATTAAAATATAAATCTATCTCTGACATACCATTTCAAAAATTAGACTGGCAATTGTGTACAAAAGATAATAAACTGCCCATCCTTGCTCTGTAAAAAGATGCCTACACCTGAGCTGTTCTTTAATATCGTATGTCTTACATCAGAGAAGAAGAATCCATTTCTGAAGGATTTGAAATCGTGGGATCCACATGCCTATGCAGTCCAAATTACAAGGCAAATGGAAACCATTGTTATATCTTCAAGATGAAGTAGAGCAAAAACCATGCCTAAATGCCAGCCCTTGATTTTTACCTTCATTTTCCCATCTGGCAAATCCTCCAGCTTCTGTTTATAGTAGGGTGACAGCTAACTACACTTGCCCATAGATCAAAAATTAATGTATGATATTGTCCATGACCACACTGGAGCAGCACTAAAATCCTCAGTGATTAATGTTCTCATGAGTGTTTTGCAGCTGCTATCATCCAACAAACTATTTCCAGAGCTTTGCTGATAAGTCAAGGCACTGCCCATGCCAATTCACAAGCACTAACAGAATTAAAATTTTAAAAATAAACAAATAAAATGTTTTCTTTTTAAATTATGACAATCAAAGTGTAACAGTGGCCCAAATTTTCTTTTAAACATACAGATGTGTTCATCATGTATAGAAGTTTACATATATGTATATATGCCCCATATAGGGCAGGTGGCATGTCTGCAACTATACTGGTCCATGTGCTCACATTAACAAAGGTACACATTAATTTTTAGTGCACATCAGTGAATACAGATGTATAATCAAAGCCTGCCTCCAGCACACACCTGACAGACCTGCACAAACACATGTAAAACATGGTGAAGAGCAGCAAGTTAGTGGCCTAGACTAGGAGCTGTAGGTGCACTGATATTGGTTAAGTCTCTGACATGCACTCCAACATGCATGTATTTCCTAGAGCTAAAAAAAATGCACAACTTAATTTAGCATTTGAGATTACATGTGCCTAAAATACAGAATACAGATAGGAGTGCATATTCACACATAAGTAAATGAGGCCAGTCTGAAATGGAGATTCTCCTTTCTCTAGGGCTGTTATCTCACCTGAAGAAAGGATATGCTAATTCCATTCAGTGCAGAGCTGAATCTTCAGATTGGCAATCAAACTGAATGAATCATGGATCAAGAAGAAAAAAGGAAGCTTAAAACTTTTCAAAAGTAAGTAGATTTTTATTTCCATTAACAAATCTGTCCTCAGAGACACATGCCTAACCCCATATTGAGAAGTCATTTGCATGGCAGAAGCATTTAGGAGCATCAGCCATGCTCTGTGAGTCCCTTTCACTGTGTGCTATGCAAACATGGATCAAAAACACTGCCTTTGACCAAAGGAGTTTGCACCCCAATCCTTTATATTGCTACCTAAAAAATTCAGGTTAGGTGGTTTGCAATGTGTGGCCACACATGACAAAATCCAGATGCATCTTTGGAAAAAGTTTATTATTATTATTTTTCTCCAGTTTAATTTTATGAATTCATGGTGCACAGTATGTTAGGGAAATTTAAATGCAACCTCTTGGTTAAAAAAAATACTGTCAGCAAACGTTTAGTCCTGTGTTTTACTTCCAGTTCTGCCACTAAGTTGCAGCATGACTTTGAATGGTTCATTTATTTGTCTATTGGATCTATTTGCCTCATTGTAAAACATGCCAAGTGAATTGTGGTGAGGCTTAATGTCCAAAATGTCCATGTTCTCCCACAGAGGCAGAAGAAACATTCTTCTATTGCTGTACTGTATCCATCATTGCACACCTGGTACTCCTTACATTCAAAATAATACTGACAGCAGTAGAACTTGACATTTTAAAGTATTTCCACATGAAGCACTGTGTGAAAAGTCATCTTTACTCTTAAGCAAAGTGTTCATGTAGGCACTTACCAAGAAATTGTTAGTACATTGGCAGTCATGACAAAGAAGAGTGGTGATAAGCTAGCAGTGATAACCTGTTAAATTGAAAAGAAGAAAAAAAACACTTTGTGAACTTGTGATATCACAAATGAAAACTAAAATATTTTTGCTGAAATTTAATTTTCATGTGTGCAGTCATATCTTCTTGTTTTAGTTGTAGAAGATAGTATGATAGTCACACATCACACTTCGATTTTGACTCTGACAGAACCCAGGACACAGCAGAGGCAGGGAAGGGAACCAGAGCAGGGGATCCCTTGTCACATATCCTAGCTGGCCTGGCATAGAATCCTGCTGGCTTTTATTTGCCAACAGCAGACTGGGGAGAGCAGTTGGATCCCAGGTTTGAAAGCCTTCTATTTCTGAGGAGAACGAGGGCTTGAAATGTGTTTATAGGTGCATAAAAATCAAGCAAAAATTAACAGGGTATAGGGTTAAGAAAAACAACACAACTTCAGTAGGTTTATGCTACAAATCTCTCATTACCCCCAGGTGTCCTGGGCAGAGAAACTAGAGACAAATGAATTTATACTTTCCAAGTACTGATCCCAGAAACAGCTAGATCCTGACATACAATGGTTTGTAATAGATCCCTGCCTCAGCAGCCACAGAGCTACCACATCTGCAGCCTGCGTGCAGTTTGGGATGTTTTGCTGCCAGATGGATAATGTAAAATGGAAAGAGTTCAAAGAACAGTGACAGTCATTAGATGGGGGGATTGATTTTCAGTCAACAGTTAGGATAAGCAATGCCTGTGGGAAAGGAAGACTTGGTAGTGGTTTACAAAAACTTGGGAAACACAAGCACGGAGGAATGAAAGGAACTATTTTGGTTAATACAAAATTGCCCAAGGAAAAAGATGAAATTAAGAAACAAAACTTTTAAACAATTATCAGCTAAGATTTCCTAATTATTGTTTGCCTAGTTGACTCTCAGGGGAGACAGCAGAAACTTCATTCTGTAATCTATTACTTGTTAAAGCATTACTACATGTGCAGTAGGGAAGCAAATGCCATTTCAGAGTGGATTCTGTGCAGCAGAGCTCGAACTAAGAGTGTGTTAGTCAATACCTGCTACATTTGTTACAGCCACGTTTTAAAAGGCGGGCTCTGAATGCGCCTTAAGTGCAATCAGTGCAGGATAACATGCAGGAGTGGCAGGTGAAGAACAGAAGGTTGTGCATCCCCTCTGCAGTCACCCTCTATGAGTTAGGTGGAGAGGGGCCAACACTCTACATGCAGCAGTGAGACTGTGCACAGGAGCAAAGGTGTTCTCTGGGGACTACACAGGGAGTACCTCCTCTGGCCTCTTTGGGGATGTTTTCTACTTTAGGGAGATTCAGGCGTGCAGGTGGCTTTTTTCTTCCTAGACATTACCATAACTCACACCATGACTGTTCTCCATGTGCCTATAGCCCAGGCCCCTGTCAGAGGAAATGAGGCAGGAGATGGATCAAGATCCAGGCAGGATAATACATGACTGCAGACCCACTCCATCCCTGCTCAGCTGCCAAATTGCTGGTACCAATACAACCACAGACACCTCCTGATGCAAACTTCATCTGACTTAGGTGTTTCCACACTGCCAGCCACAGCAATATACAACACAGGCAATGCTGTACAGCTCTAAGCCAACAGAAAAAGTGAGCTCCTACTCCTAGGGAAAATCAAAGATATGTATCTACTTCTATAGCCTTGTATCTACACATGTAAGCAAACATAAAATTTAACATATATACCCAAAGGAGACTGACAGAGGACAAGTCACAAACAGAGAGTTATGCTTCAAAACTCAAGATCATATTGCAACTGTGCACTTTCAGTGGCCTGTCTCATAGTCATTTGCAGCCGGAGAGAGCTGACGCCTACCCCAAACAGTGAAAGTTAACTATTCAGGAGCTGAATTTTTCATGAACTTTACATAAATACCAGCTTCGAGGCTGTATGTCCATTAGTTCAAAAACAGTGCTGTAAAATTCATTTGCATCTTGTTCTAGTGGTGTGGGTTCTCCCCTTACAAACAGCACAGCAGATGCACTGACCTACAAGGAACCATTTCTCATTTACTCTGGTGTGAATGCTTGTGGAATTAACTGTACTGAGCTTATTTTAGGTCAATGCTAACTTATTACATAAAAATATACAATACCAATTACTGACCATGTAAACAGAAACTAACGAAGGATGGCAGCTGTGGTGCGTACAGAGCGTTCTTTTCCTTGAGCTCGTTTTCTCAAAGAAACTGAAGTGCTGTATTTAAGAAGTGGCAAAAGCTAAAGTTGTGTCACCCACTCCCTTGTTGAGTCCTGTTTATTAGAAACTTGAGAAGAGGCCAAGAACAGAGAAACAGGCATTCAAGAGACCTCCAAAAACAGGCCCTATCAGAAACAATACACCATTCTACTGTGATCATCCCAAACCTCTGCAAAAATGCAGGCTGTAACCTTTTGGACTACTATAGCTGAACACTGTTGTATTTTTGAGAAATTATGTAAGAGTCTCTCAGTGCCAAAGACAAACAAAATGTGAGTTGGAAGAGCGCATGAAGCAAGTGTGTGCAAGGAAAGAAAAAACAAATCATAAACAAACCAAAAGGAAAACACGTTGCTAAAATACCTACCTTTGATGGTTTATCTAAAAGAAGAATATGGTTTAAAATGAAAAACAAGTTTTCAGACAAGCTAACAATGTAATTTTTTCCAAGGGAAGAATCTAAATCCTAGGTACCCAGGAGAGAAGGTAATTTTCCTTCAAGTACATTTCAATATTATCTGAAGTGTTTTAAGTGCACATTTACTTTGAAAAAAAAAAACCCACCTACACTGATGTTCTGAATGGCCTTCAAAAAAAACCAAAAAAACCCAACAAAATAAATTCACAACAAGCTAAGTGCAGTCATCTCTCTTTCTTCACTTTAAAGGTCACAGTTGTCCTCCAAGGCATGCAGATGCTTTAGTAAAAGGAATGAGCTTTCAAGACAAAAGAAAGCAAATTAAAGGGCAAACTAAAGTTAATGATTTCCAAATATATTTTGATGCTGAATCTTCAAAACTAAGAGGTGAAAAGGAAAACTTTAATAAGCTATAATATGCCTATTTTTAACAAAGCTCCCCAAGATTTTTATATACAGTCACTAATTCTATTAAATGATACAGGTTGGATAGTTGAACACCACTATTCTGGACACAGGAATAGCTCCACGGACTCTGCCTACTTTTAAAGGAACTGTGACCAGTCAGTATTACGAAAGCTACTTTAAAAACATTCATACCCTAAAATTTTCTCACAAAATTCTGACACAGCTTCCCAGGATTAGGAAAAAAATTCAAGTGTGGCATAACTTAACAAAACATTTCCATATGAGCTGAAATTTTTCCTGAGAAATCATTTCAAACCCTTCCTTGCATGAAAAACCAAATCAAAACAAAACAAAACAACCTCCCCTCAAGATTGTTACTTAAAATAAATCAGTCTAAGTTTATTGTGTCATTCCATTGTACTGTGAAAACAAGATCCATTTTAAAAGACCATTTATTAACACCTATTTGCCTTGATTCCAGCTATTTCTGTAATAGTCCAAATCATTGAGTTATTCATAAATAATTTTAAAAATTATAAAAAACTTTGGCATTTAAAATTGTGCTTTGTACCTCAACCAAAACCAGTTCTAGTTCTTTAGAATGTGTATCAGCATGGCAGGGAAAAAGTGTATCCTCGTAATGGATACTTCTCTGGGATTAGGTCTGAGAAGAGTGGGTTGATCTCCTCCACACAAGATATTGGGCTCCAACAGTCAGGAAACAAAATACACAAATACTCTGGTATTCTTCACATAAATACTCTAGTACAAGGGTAGAACAGGAACCAGGAGAAAAAAACAGCAACTCAGCCAGTTAGAGGTTACAAACTTCTTGGTTAAAGGAGATTCTCAAATTCAGGTTCCCACATATAAGGCAAAAACTTCAGGCGTCCCCAGTATTCCGGGAACCAGACACAGGCTCAGGTACCATGAAACATCCCACACACTGCTTACATTGCCATTTACACTTAACAAGCTCCTATCAAGGACAACACAGCACTCAACTTCAGGATCCAAAGAGATTCATTCAATTCCAGAGCTCCAGAGTTTGCCCCTTACCAGGCTGAATTACTGGCAACTAGAAAAACAGTGGCATCATTGAAATGCTGAGTAACAGACTAAGATCCATGAAGCAGAAATATCCCAATGTGTGGAAGAACTTGTTGCACAGTAGCGACAGATTCAGCACATAAAATCACCTTTGCATAGGAAAAAAGTAGGCATAGGAAAAAATGTGCTCCAATGTGTCTGCTTTTTCTAAATCTGCTTTAGTGATTCCCGAGTGGAGGGAGGCACAATTGCCACCAGCTTTAAAGGGTTCCCAAGGAACTTTGATAGAGAGACCACTGCACAACTCGTGACATGAATGATTTCCTCCTTTCTCCCTATCACTTTATGGCCAGATAAGAAAAAATTTCTAAGAGAAAGCAAAATTAGTCTCATAAATGCTGTTTTAAGAAAATGGGGAGGGGGGGGAAAATGGAATTTATTTTTAGAAAACGAGATTAATTTAGTTTAAGATAACAAAATAAAAAATAAAGACTGTAGAATTTCTTGCTGTAGACCTTAAGAACAGGCAAGATAACTCTTGAGCCAGCTTCCCTGTTAGATGTTTTTCTTGAATGTATAACAAGAGAAAACTCTGATAAGTCTGACGTGGCTTAAAGACAGGAGATGGCATCCTAAGGGCTCCTGGTCCTTGCCAATGCACAAATTTGGATCTTGGGAGATAGAGGAATGTGGAACTCTGCATTCTCTGCTGCCCTGCCTTCTCCAGGCTGTGGTTATACCACAACTTCTGGAGTGTCCACTCTCTATCAAACCAGACATCACTGGCCAGATAAATGTGTCATTCTTTACCAAGCTACCATGCATCCTTTTCATCCCTGACTTCACAATCACTTCAGAGAAAGATTTTCAGGCTGCAGAAGCTGAATAACTAGCATTTCTGAGTTGC